GGACCCTCAACAATAAAACTTTAACGATGTTATTATCTATTGCTATTGTGTAATCCCATTAACGAAAAAATTGACAAGTGACAAGGCAGTGGTGGGCCAGGTATATTTCATCCTTTCTGATATAATTCCCTCAGTGCTGACTGTTTGTGACAGTGTTGAATAATCGTTTTAACTGTGCGTTTCGAAAAAGTTATTTTACGAGAATATAAAAATGTCGCGTCGAAATCATTTGTCGCTTGATGCAAAATGTGTATCAAACTTCAATCAGTAAAGGAATTATTCAACAAGAAGCTTTAAAAAAAATTTTTTTCTTACAAAAAAACTCCAATATCGTCGATAAATTTATTACTTATAGTGGAGAATTGAAGAAAATAAATAAACCTAGTGATTTTCAATTAGGACCTAATAACAAGGAAAATTTATTGTCTTTATCATATGGATAAACTGAAAAAGAAGCGAGAAGAAGATGAAACCAATATAAATATAAGTTGTGCCACCCTGCATAGAGTTGTTTGTAAAATGGGATTTAAGTACCGCAAAATAACCAAAATAGGCAAGTAGATTAAATATTAATTAATTAAATTACATTCAAGAAATTAAAAGATATACATTAGACAATATATCCATATATATCCTTGAAGAAATGAAGAAACATGATTCGATACACGCCGCACTCTATCCAAAGGATTGTTTGATTCCAGTTAAAACGAAAGGAAATAAAGGAAAGCGCCTCACCATAATACACGCTGTGTCAGAAGAAGGATTTGTCCTAAACTGTTTAATGTTGTCTACAAAGAATATTAAGGATTCTAGCTTGAATTACAAAACAATCTTTTAAACAATATTCCCAATAACAGTGCGTTTGTCGTGGATAACGCAAGCTACTACAGCCGTCTGCTACGCAAAGTCCCAGCCTCATCAATATTTGTTAGAAAAATATATTTATTTTTTATTCATTTATAAAAAAGCGCAACTTTTGGAATTTCTAAATTCATATGCAATTACAAAACAGTACGAATGCTATAATTTGGCTGAACAGGCTGGTTATCCTGTTATGTTTCTCCATAACATTGCGTGTTTAACCACATAGAGCATTTGTGGAACCAAGCAAAATCAAAGGTCAGAGCAGAAAATATCACTTCTACTTTAATTCCCAGTGCTATAAATTTGATAAAAACATTATAAAAATTGAGGACATTTCTATACAAAACAACATAAATCATATTATAATTAATATCAATGACGACTCTGATAGTGAAATTGAATTAGATTTGCACATTTAGAATAAAAATGTAATTATGTATAGATATTCCTAGCTATGATTTTTTTCTATATACATTTAATGTCATTGTTATTTCTTGGTATAATTTAATAAGATTATACCCACCTAAATAGGGGAGGAGACCCCGTATCATCTGCTCACCGAGTGCCCTGCCTTGACATGGGCAAGATTGGGAGTCTTCGGAACGGCCCTGATCGATCCGGACTCAGTGCACGGTATTGGGCTAAAGGATTTGCTGACCTTCTACAGGAGGGACGGCATTCTGGACGCCCTCTAGAGCGGCCTGGGGGCACAACGGGCCCATCTGGTGGCCTAAGTGCTTGGACGCCCGCGAGGGCGCCCCCCTTTAATACCAATACCAATACCAATACCAATACCCACCTAAATAAACATAAAATATTATATTATTACCAAAACCTTTGAGAGTTGACCTACGAGTTGAGTTTTATTGCCGTCGGCAGGTAACTTCCATAATTGCGGGCAAAAGTCAGCACGATGGAGATTGAGACAGACTATACAATCTCAGTCGGTTTTGTTCCAATCTTACACGTGAGTCTTTATTGCTTCGCAGAATGTGCCCACTACGACTGATTTAAAATTCCTTACACCATTAACTTTTTCGCAACTGCAATCTAAGTTTTCTTTCCGTTTTATGTGGGGGTACGTTTAAAACAGTTGCCACGGGAAAATAGGGTCAACTACATTTTATATTTATGTGTGCGCCGCACCATTAAATTTATTGGCATCAAATAATGGTCTATCAAACTAACGTCTCTAAAGTAGGATGTATATTAACCAAGTTATATATGAATTTAAGGACTATATTGTCCGTACATAGAGGGCGTTAAAAATTAGTGGAGACAATTTTTGAAAAGACCTTCGTAAAAGTGAAGGTATAAAAATTCTGATCCAAAAATTAAAAAGATATCAACAAAACAAGAGTAAAGAAAATATAGGAAATTTAAATATAGGAAAAAATCTAAGGAGAAATTCCTGTTAATAAATTAAAGTAATATAAATGATAAATAAAATAGATAAGGATGGTAATATAATGTAAATTTTGAACAATAGGAAAAGCTCCACATTTTTCAATTTGTATAAATGATCATCCAATTATGCACGATTGTTGCTACAGTCCCAGAAAACTACTATTGCCTGATTTGCAAAATATTTAATATCTCACAATCATGGTCAACGAAATAAATGAAAAACAACGGCGTTGCAATCGCTTAGGTAAATCCTCTCTTTGACGGTTTCAAAAAGCTTAATTAAACCAGCTTCCATCGCTGAAGCATGAAAATCAAACATTCCAATTTAAACTTTGTACTGCTACAAAGAGTTGTCGATTAAGAAAATTCGTTGCTAATTTAGCGAGAAACTGATTTAAACTTGGTGCGCGTTCCGCAGCTCTATTTCGATGATATTGTGCTAAACAGACGTGTTGTTACCAAATTCTCAGCGCCACACTGATCAAACTTGAACTGTTTGAGTACAGCTTACTACAAGAATTAATTTAGTTTAATTACCAATTAAATTTTATATTATCAAACCATCTAAAACAGTTTTTTATCCTTGATGTTGACCAAACATTTTATACAGGATGTTTCATAACAAGATCCGATTTCACGTTCTTTTTTCTGGTAATTTTCAAGCTGAAAATATATTTTTTTTATCATCACTTCAATAAATTCCAAGCATCACCAATAATTTTTAGGGTGCGTAGTCTTTCCCTGCATGATTCAAATCAGTGAAAATTGAACAAATATTTGTAAAATATACATTCGTATTAAAACTAATTTGATTTCTGTTCATCGGAAGGGAAAGGGTCAAGAAACCGAATTCACCCCAAAATGAACGGATATTTTAAAATTAAACTTTCACTTAAAGGAAAAATAGTAATTAAAACTGAAAAATCTTCTGCGTCTTAACGCACAGTGGACAAGTGTAAAATTTCTAAATATATCCATTAAGTTATGAAATGAATGGTCAAAAAAAGATTTTTGATCCTCCAATCTCAACAAACAACAACAAAAACCGAACATTATGCAGTGTCATGTCAGCAGATAACAATTTCCTACTGAAAATGCTTGTGTGAATTTAGGCAATCATTGTTCTATAGATTTTCGCGTAATACAACCCACATTATATCAACGTGGCAAAATACTTTTTTCCTAACATATTATTTTCTATAGCTATTATTTTAATAAGAATAAGGGCAATAGAAATGGTAGGACTTTTTTGGAACTCCTTGCTGTTACTTTTTTGAAACATAATATTTGCAAAAAATCAATCTAATCAACAACGGTGAAGTTTATTATTAAAACCTAGAACTGGCTTTTACTTGATGAAAATCCATTTATCAAAATAAATAAGAACTAAAAGTTCAGATTTTCAAGAAATTATATATTTTTACATAACAATTTTTACGAAACACTTGTCATGTAAAAATATATAATTTCCTGAAAATATGAACTTTTAGTTCTTATTTATTTTTTATTAAAAACTCTTTTAAAGAAAGAAAAATTGATACAGTATATGAATTTACGAAATGGATATATCAAAAATTGTCCTTTTACCGATGGAAGCTAATAATTATCTAAGTCTTTAACGTTTCTGTTGCATAATACGTTACTTGCATTATTATCTTCTTGAAAAGAATCACTATCATCTTAAAAATTGACATCGGAACAAACCAAAACAGACACAAAAATGCAATCATAAAATGTGCAAAACAATATGGTTTGATTCCATTCTTGTGGCGACAGAACTGATTTTCCGTATTTTAATTCAGTCAATCACGTTCTACATTATAAAATGTAAAAACTGTGCGGTGTCACAATTGTTGTAGTTTAGCACTAAACAGCGCAAAGCCATTTTATTTGTTATTTATTTATTTATTGTTACCAGAAAATAAAATGCTTCTTTAAAAAAAGGTGTGCACTAAATACAATCAGAAATAAGAGAGGATTGATCAAAAACAAGAAAAAAGACGCAACTCCATATTAAATAACTGTTTAATTAGTATTTAGAACCAACACGCTTCTCAAATCGAATAATAACCAACTGCAAAAAACCAAATTTTACGTCCAAACTCTAAATATCAAAAATCCTAAAGTGCCTGACATCTCTTCTGATAGGTCGAAATTCATCATAGTAAAATGCCCATGTTTTTCTTGGATATAATGTCTTTCATTAGAACTAGTCGGCTATTGCTAACCAAACTAACCAGAACTACTTAGTATGTTCATGTATTTATTGTTTAGGTAACTAACAAAAACAGCTTCCTGGTCGAACAACAGGGCTGGCACAAATCGGACAACTAAGTAACATAATTATTTTGTGCAAAGAATTTCTTCTCCTTTCGTTTTACTTTCTCATGTACAGAGCTTATTTCAGATTCGTGCTTCTAAATTCTTGATCCCTTTTTGTCTTGCTACAAATTGTGTACTTCTAAATTTTATGTTTGCTTAGAGCTCTGTAAGAAAAATCAAAGGTTGCGGTGAACTTAAACTTATTTAATTTTAAACGTGAAAATGTATTGCTGGCGTAGGGTTTCTTGAAAAATATCATCTTCGTCCCACATATGGACACCAAAAATTAAAATGGCAAAGCGTAGGTATTGGATGATAAGGGAACTTCGTCAGGCGCGTTCACGGCGCTTATTGGTTGACGTCTGCGGGCGTCTCGACGCTTATATAAAACGGAAAATCAAGCGCAACGTGTTCGCATATTCGCACGTAGTGAAACGCAGCACAGAAAGCAACAGGGGGTTGAAAGTGAATTTTGTGACAGGTTTCAGATTAAGGGTGAGTTTGAAGCTTTACCATTTTTAGAGAAAAGGAGTATTTATTTTATGGCATCAAACATTTTTTTAGAGCCATATCGGTTGTTTCTGGACTAGGAGAATGAAACAAAAGTCATTCGTAAATGCGCTTGATACGAAATTTCCACTTTTTTGTCATTTGTATTGTACACGAGTCAGTGAATATTAAAGTGGTCAGGTCGTCATTTTTCTGCAAGTATTTTTACTGTTAAAAAATCTGACTTACTCCTTATTTGCTTTTCAGCAACTCATATTTTCTTATATTACTTAATAAAATTACAAATTAGTTTTTACAAACAGTTTAAAAAATACTTTACTTTACACGCCCGCTTGTTTGTATTTGATATTGCCAATTATTTGCTTTCTGGTGTTTGTTTATCTACTGAATTATTTATAAACAGATATATAATCGCAATTTTGTCTAAAAAAAGTATTATTTAATGAATTTTCCTATATGTCACAGGGTGATTATTAATTATTGGTTTTAATGTTCATTTAATTAATTTAATTAATGTTGCTTAAAAAAGTTGTTTTACAAAATTGTTTTACTTTTTTAAAAACACATGCATCGATTACTTCAAACCAAAATATTTCGGTTGGTCCTAGCGGCTTCTACTTTTTTTCCAAAAATGTAATTAAACAACTGATCAGTCTTTGGTACCCCCTAGAGATAAGAGCTTAATTAAGAATAAATTCAAATTTCAGATCCAATCCTCGTTGAGAAATCGGTATTATTCAGAAATTATGCAGAAAAAAAAAAGAAACAAAAACTTCGACAACACGTTTAGCAGTAATTTTTTTCCTAAAAATACTTGAGAAATCACCTTGTGAAATATCGAACATTTATTGAATAACACGCAGTAAGTGGTTTTTAAAAATTTAAAAGCATTATCATTATTATTATTATATTATTAAAAAGCTGCAATTTTTTTGCTTCATTAAATCTGATAAAATTAAATTAATACACATAGCATATATAATTATAACATATAATTATGCAAATGTTTTTTAAGCTTTATAGATAAACAGGAGTTCGAAATTTTTTTCTTTTACCAGTACCGTGAAAAATACTCATTTATTTAGTATTTGGAGGCACGTTGTTGCCGAAACAGCTGTCATAAACGAGTAAATAAATAATTCGTGAAAATCTGAACATCGCTTTAATTTACCTTGTTAAATGGATTTTCATTAAGCTATCTCAGCTCAGTTCAATATAAATGTATCCCAATAAAACACACTAATTTTGAGAGGAGAATCCAAAAGTGAAATAAGATACAGCGGTGCGTCCTTTTTCTAAAATGCCCAATTATGCTCTGATCTCCATTTGGTTCCCAGAACGACGCGACGACGACATAACGCACAATATAAATAAATATATTTTTCATGGTATTTTAAAAAATATTTTAAAAATTTGAACGGTGAATTTCATGTATAGTATGCAACACTTTGAGTAGTTAAGCTACTATGGTTCGACATGTAAATGTTTAGATTAAATGAATATCCAATTTGAACAAAATGAAAAACAAGCCTCATCTAAGGGGTCAATGACGACCGATTTTCTTACGTTCTTTGTGCAAAACCTAATTGACAATGAGAGAAACGCTGATTTGATCCACATAGGCAAAAATGGGGCTGCCTCGTTTATAATATATATAAAATTTTCTGTGTCGAAAGCCGGTGACATTCAAAGCGACAATACTGACGCATTTTCCGACCTTTCTCTATATCAGCGCAGATGTCAGTCGCATCTATTGCTATCAAGTACGCGTCGATGTTGATTGTTCTTAGAAGTTCAAACATGCACAGCAGTAAAATGGGTCCTGCTAATATTTTGTGAAGATTTTTAAAATTTTATTATTAACCGGTAACACTTTGCGTAAATGGATAAATGGATAATGTGGAAATCGTTACCATAAATGGTTTGAAAGGGTTGATCCTCCGTAGAAAATTTGTCATTAGGACTATTTAAAAAAATTGATTGAATTTTTCTCTTCGCTAACTTTAAGGTAATCTCAATGTTTCTATTATCGGCAGAAACGTTGTTTTAGTAGCATGCTTAAAAAAAAGGTAGTTTAGAAGTGTTTCCCGGAGCTTCGAGTTCTCAAGTTTTCCAACCTTCTGGACCTTTCCCTTATGAAAAAACATTGGGCCTCTCGCTTACATTAGTAAGTAATCATAAATCAAAATGGGCCCCTGTATTGTGAACTATTACAGCAGCAAAGAAAATGGGGCCGCAAATTAAGTACGATTTTTCGTAGTTCTCTGTTTACGTCATATAGTTAATTTTCGTTTGTGATGGCGTCGTTAATAATGGCGAAATTAAAACGTAATTTTCTGATTCTGAAGTTTTTATAGCTCTACCGCGATATACAACTACCACTCATATCTTATCACCAAAATTAACTAGAATCTCATCGTGACTAATTCATGAGAGTTTCGTTTCGGTAAAATTTAAAACAGCTTTGGAAGTGCCTCGTGCAAATTTTCATTTCAGCATACATATTCAAATTTTAACGCTGATTTTACCTTAAAAGGCGACTCGGAAATTACTCGACGTTTGATAAAATTGAAGCGGATTTACAAAAAAATTGGCGTGCCAATAAAATATTTATTTGCGTTGCCCGAGGGGTCGTAGACAAACATATTTTTATTTCAATTTCGTCATAAATGTTGAAAGAAAAATTTGCACGTTAATACGAAAAGGATGTTCTACGGGGTATAAAAAAACGGCAAATATGTATTGACAAATTTGGAGTTGTAACAATTTAACCTACAGGTATCATAATTCATGCGGGATATGTTGCATAATATGGAAGCACATAACTTTTATTTTTCATTTTGCCGAGGTCAAAATCGTATAAATCTCTGGTAATGTGGCAGGGGAAATATCAAGAAACCCCATTTCTCTTCGCTTTGCAATATATCCTCTTATTCTAAGGGACCCGAAACAAAAAAAAAAGGTCAAACCGAAAGATTATGTAACAACCGGCAAATAATTACAATATTTCTGCGTAGCCTCAGGTTCTTAGGAGAAGAATTGAAATTACATCGTGTAAATGAAACGAAATGTTGTTTATTTTGGTTGAAGTTGGTACATTTGTTACTCGGGGATATGAAGAATTGGGGGGTGGGGGGTGTCTAGGATGATTATTAGCCTCTTCGAAGTTGCTTGACATATGCTGAGCCTGTCGACCGTCCTGTCTATCCGATTTTAATACATAATAAAATACCTGTTAGTAAGTTTTTCACTTGTTGTAATGATTGAACATTTAATTTTAATAACCTGCTCTTAAAATTTTAGTACCATATCAAACCATAAAGAAGAGAAATATAAAAAAATTAACCACCTCGTTCATTGTTCGTCTACAACTCGATACGTTTTTATCGATACTAAACTATACTGTACGGATTGCGGATTTGCTCCCCCTTTTGTAACGTATTGAGAAAACTAAACATGTTTATTATTACATAATTTTAGTTAGTTTATTTATTTTTTTAGGTATTTATTCATTAGGGACACTACAGGCGAATCTAAACGGTGTCTACAGGGTTACATAACACATACAAAAAATTAATGAGGTATAGACTCTGATTGTTTTTAATTTAATCAAATATGAAACAAAAACTGCAAATCATTAGGAAGCTTTTACAGGTATAACAGTATCTATAAGACTTTTAGAGGTATTTTGTGGTCTAAATGATGTTATATATCATATTTCCAATTCTTACTATTCCAGTGAGTGGACAATTTTTTTGCTGAATTAATACGATCTGAATATTTAACGGAATTTAATGAATTTTATAGCTGCAATTGACAATAATATAAAGAAACATTATATCCGCCATCCTTCTTCTATTATCTAACGGGATAATATTGAAGTGTACGGGATCAGGACTCAAATGGAATTAATTTTTCTAGTTTGCTTTCAACCTTTTCGAAGCGATTTATGTAGACTCTGTACTTTTGACTCCAAACCACACTATCAACCAAAACAAATAGTTTGGCATATATATATTTTTAAAAACAAATTGAAAATGAGTACAAAAAGTCTGGAGTCTATCAGGGTCGCAGCTGCTGGGTGCTCAAGCTAAATAATGGAATAAGAAATAAACCAGAGACAGAGAGAGAACAACAGAACAAAGAACTTTCATAACGAATATAAAATAGTTTCTTATGCAGAAAAAAAACATTTATGTTTGCTATTTGAAATACTGAAAACAAAATTAACCTCTTATTTAATAAAACAAAAACTATACGCTACATATTTACATTTTAATGACAAAAATAATAAGTAATCGATTGACTGGAACGTACTCCTAAAACATTAACAAATTATAGATCCAATTATTATGGAACATATTTTACTATTTTTTTCTTTAGCAAGTTTTTTGTGCTCTGGATTTTACTGCAGTCTTTAACTGCCAAAACCGAATAGTGCTAATTCAAACATTCATCAATCATTCAATCTGTTCCTAACTGTGCATGGGATTTTCATTAGTCGAAGCTACTATATCTGATATCTGCTTATTTGAAATATGCATTTTTGTAACTAATCTTTGAAATATTATCTCTCCCAAAGAAGTAATACCCGCCCCTTAAGTTGGGAGTTGATGCAACAAAGATCAGTGCTGTTAACATATTCAAAATTTATCGCACACTTAACTTTAAATTACTTACCGTGTGGCGCGATTAGTTCTAAATTCCCGTCTAACTTCTTTCGAGATTCAAAAAGTTCGTGCATTTAGAAGAGGCAAACGAAGTATAAGCCTGGTTACCCGCTTTATCATTGTTCACATTGTTTGAAACTTTTTACCGCTCGCTTCACTCCTCTTTAAGAAAATTGACTCGGTCTATAAAACCTAATTTTGTCTTTTATTATGGGATAAGGATACTGATTTTTGCAACTTTTATCTGCTTTTATTTCAAAACGATAAACGTCATATATCATAATTTACGAAAGTTTTCCTTCCACTATTGCCGGA